CGTCTAAGGAGCAGTCTGGTTTTATTTCTTCCAAGACTGATTTGTGTGTTCTTCTGGGAGTCCACAATATATTCAATATTCTTCACCAACACTACAGTTCCAACCCATGAGTTCTGTGGTCTTATGTATGTGTGTTTCCTTCATTTTTTGTTTTTCACTCTCCAGCTTTCACATGCGTATGAGGCTATTGAAAAGACCATAGCTTGGGTCAGATACACCTTAGCCATCCAAGTGATATATTTGCTTTTAAGAACTGTAAAGAGGTTTTGTGCCACAGATTTGCAGCACTAGTATGGTCAGAGGTAAAGAAATATTGTTAGGACAACAACAACACAAATATTGTTAGGACAACAACAACACAAAGGAAATTGTTTACAGGTCTGTTCATTGTAGAACAGGCTTCATAGAGGATAATTGTTTTTCTAGAAAGAACCATACCAAATTCTATAAGGATGTTCCACTGTAGAATCCCTGGGTGGATTTCAACTGGTTAAATGCTTGGCTACCTGGTATGGCGCTGTGGGCTCATACGCTGGACTGCAAAGAGGATTTGAACCACAAGGTCGGTAGTTCAAGCTCACCAGCTGCTCCTTGGAAACCCTATACAGGATCAAAACCGACTCAACAGCACTTCACAACTAACTACAAGGTCAGCGCTTAAGTTCACCAGGAAGCACCTCGGAAGAATGTCCTAGTGATGTACCTCTGGAAAACTGACCACTGGAAACCTTACAGAGAACTGTCTCCTTTGCTGTGAGATACAAGAAATGGATAATGCCTGACTACCATATTGGAACATTTTGATCAAAGAGTCTATAGAGATATCCTGGTCCAAAAGCGGGGCGGGGGGAGATGCAGAATAGAATTTCACCTGTTACGGGATACAGACACTCTAGACTCCTGGAGGCTGGGAAAATCCCCAAAACTGCTGTCCTGAGATCATCTTTAAACCTTCCGCCAAAAATATCTTAAGTCTTCTTAAACCAAACGGTTTGTTGTTGTTAGGTGCCATCGAGTCGGTACCGACTCACAGCGACCAAATATAGTTTCGCTTAATTAGTGAAGAATGTCTGCTTTGAGCATTATGTTCCTTTAAGCTCTGGAGTCCTGGTATGACACTACATATTGATGGGCACTGGACTGCTAACCACAAGGTCAACGGTTCAAACCCACCAGCTGCTCCTCGGAAACCCCATACAGGGTCACTATGAGTCGGAACTGAATGATAATTTACAACCAGAGCTCTGGGATCAAATGGACAACAGCAACTCAATTTAGATATAAACGTTAGGGGACAGCGCCTTTAGGTTAATGTCGGGGGTGGGGGGGCAGTTCAGTACAGGATGGGGAGGGTGGTTGCACATGACTAAACATCACTGAGGTGTAGGTGTAGACACGAATTGGGTGTGTTTGCTGTGTATATTCTCAATAATATATTTTTTTTAATCAGGAAAGGAGAGAAAATCCTGAGGGAGGGCAGAATTGCTGGGTGCAAGGAATCAGGCTGGGGTTCCCTCAGCCCACCAGGCAGTTCCCACCCCAGATGCTGGTGTCCCACCCACAGTGGGTCATGGCACCCTGTGAGGGGCAGGCTCTGCTGAGACCACACATCACATCAAGGCCCAGGAGACAGAGGTCGTGGGGTCAGGATGCTGCCCACACCCTGGGTCTGTCCGGCTTCATCCAGCCATGCTTTCACTTGGGCTGAAGAACCCCAGATTGGCCTAAATGTTCATCGGGTCCATCCATACAATGAATGCAACATTTTTTATTCATGAATCCTTACTGCCTATCACAATGTGGATGAATTTTGAAAGCATGTTGAGTGAAATCAGTCAGTCACAGAAAGACCAATAGTGTCTGATGCTACTTGTAGGAACAGTGGAGACCAGGCAAATGTTGACAGACCTAAGATTATGAATGGTTGGCAAGGTGGGGGTGGGGGCAGGGAGAGGATGGGGCTAAGACCCCGTTGTTAGGGGACACTGAGCGTCTGTTCAAAGTGCAGGGAGATTACAGAAAACAGTGATGGTAGCACATGTCTGCAATGAATGTCACTGAGTGTACATTTGTAAAGTACTTAAGTGATTGATGCATTACGCCGAGGGAAGGAAACCAGACACAAAAGGCTGCAGGCGTTGGATTCTGTTTCTATGAAATGACCCGGATACACACATCCGTAGAGATGGCAAGCTGACTCGTGATTGCCTAAGGTCCCCTGGTGGTCCGACCGTGAAACACTCTGGGCTATGACCTCCTATACACAAGTGGTTTCAACCCACCAGAGACTCGGCGGGATTAAACACCTGGAGATCAACTCCAGTCTGTCACGTGGCGCAGCTGTGAGTCCGAATCTACAAATACAGCAGTGGGGCTGAGGAGGGGCTGTGACAGCGGGCAGTGACTGCTACTGGGAACGGGACCTCCATTCACAGCTAGATGCTGTTCGGAGCCATCGAGTCACTTCTGACTCCCAGTGCCCCTGGGTAGGGTTTCCAAGGGGCAGCTGGTAGGCTTGACCAACAACCTTTCCGTTTGCAGTCCAGTGCCTATCCTGCAGTGCCTCACGAGGACCCCTAGAACTAGACAGAGGTGATGAATGTACCAAGGGCCACCAAATTGTGTACTTGAGACGGCTAATTCTATGATATGTGAGTTTTACCGCAAACACCACTGGCAACGGCATGTGTTGCGCACACACTCCCTCATCAGTGGCCATACCCTCTCGGCCACCCCATCCATACTTGTCTTCCCTGCCCACTCAGAATGTCCCCATCAGTCCCCAGGTGCCAGAAGTTATGCCCACCCCTCCATGTCCCCCTGGTCATGGGTTCCCCAAACACCCCACCCTCAGAGGTCAGTCTTGGTCCCCTAATGTTGTAACACAAAGACCACAAGGGGTGGCTTTGAAGAACAGATACTTATTTTCGCACGGTTAAGTAGACAGGAAGTTCAAATTCAGGGTTGTAGAAAAGGCTTGCTCTCTGGCTTGGGGGAAGATCCGTGTCTCTTTCGGCTTCTGTAGCTCCCATCATTTCTCAGGTTCTTGACAATTATCCTGTGACCGCTCTCTCCCACCCCACCCCACCAGTTTGTGTTAAGTCTCTGTGACATCTCAGGGGTCTCAGGGTGGCACAAATGGTTAAAGTGCTGGACTACTCACTGAAAGGCTGCAGGTTTGAGCCCACACAGAGGCACCTCACATGAAAGTCCTGGCAGTCTCCTTCCAAAAGATCCGCTATTGACCTACCCTGACACACACTGGCTCGCCATGCATCAGGGGCACTGTGAGAAGCCAACTAGCTGGATTTGGGTGTTTTTTAGGGCTGTGGGGGTCCTTCTGAGAATATCAGTGGGGTCTTAGCGTCAGGAAATCAAACAACAAATAGGCCTATATGGAACAATAATATGGGGAAGTACATAATTCTTAGACTCCTGGTGTGGCACTATAGGATGGCCACTGGACTGCAAACCACAAGGTCAGCAGTTCAAACCCACCAGCTCCTCCTCAAAATCCCCATACAGGATCGCTATGACTCAGAACTGACTCGACAGCACTTAACAACACACTCTTTAGAACAGTCTTCAGAGAGCAAATGAAACCCGTAAACCCGGGCAGGAAGTGGAAAGATGCCGTTTGGTACACTGTGGAATCTGTGCTCAATGTCACAAAACAAAATGTGTGTGAATTGTTGAATGGATAACCAGTTAGCAATTAAAAAAAAAAAAAAGGTCTTGGGAACCCTGTGGGGCAGTTCTACCCTGTCCTACTGGGGGTTGGGAGGAGGCTGCAGAGATGAGTCAAAATTGACCCAGGGCGATGAGTTTCCAGTGGTTAAGACCCCACTTGGAAATTAATTGTCCCTGTTCCGTTACTGAGGTCATATTAGTGTTAATGTTGTAATGTGCTGTCGAGTCAATTCCGACCCCTAGCGACCCTGTATAGGGTTTCCAAGAAGCATCTGGTGAGCTTGAACCACCAACCCTGCAGTTTAAACGACTTTGCAGTCTGATGCGTTAGCCCACAGCACCACACCAGGACATGGAAGTAGGGAGTAGCTAATGCGCAGCTCTTTTGAGGCATGAAAGGAGTAAGGAGGGGGAAGACAGTTGTCACGCCACATGACGATCACTAAGGAAGCCAGGACCAGAAGTTGGAAAGAGACAAAGGACCCCAACCCCACCCACCCCCCACAACACACACACACAGAGGAGAAAGCTGACCTAGAAAGCAAGCCCTTAATTTTGACTTCTAGGCTCCTAAACTGAGAAAATACATTTGTTTGTGCAAGTCCCACTTGTATTTGTTATAGAAACAGTGGGTCACTGAGACTAGGCGTCAGAGCATGGAGCTCTGTGCCTGGAGCAGGGACAGTAGGAGAACCAGTTGTTCTTGCTGTGCCCAGCCGGCCCCCTGGACATCAGAGCTGAGAGACATTCTGAAGCCCAGATAACCACAGCCACTGTTCCTTGCGGCCCAGTTCCCCACTCCTTCACCCCCAGCACAGAAGGGCAAGGAACACTAGGAGGGTCTGTCCCACTGATGCTCTGGAATATCCAGATCCCAGACCTCCATTTAGGCAATGTATAGCCCCCAAGGCTGATCACCCGAGGCTTTCCAGACTGAGGGAGACAGAGGACCAGAGGCAGGCAGAAGAAGGGAGCCTTTATTCACCATTATTCGCCACCTTCAGTTAGGGGCAGCTGGAGTGTCCATTCACGGGGCCATCCCACCCCATGGAAGGATCAGGAGGCAGCCCCTGTTTCCTGGGGGTAGCGTGGTCCCCATCCCCAGCTCTTCCCACCCATGGGGGAAATCTGGGGACCCTCAAGCTCCGGGGCCACCCCCTGCCCCGGGTCCTCCATCATGGCTTAGCGCCCCCTCTGGAGGGAGCAGCAGCAACAGGTCAGTGCAAGAGGGGGCTGGATGGATGCTGAGGCCGAGGAGGGTGGGAGGAAGATGGGGGCCGGAAGAGTTGGAGTTAGACTTGGACCTGTCCTCAGAGCAGGAAGGCCTTGCTCTCTGACAACAGCAAGGATTCCTTAAAGTGACGTCCTGGACCTACGAGCTGGCACAGCGCTAGGAGGGCAGCAGCAGCGAGGGCAGCACTTAGCACGGCTATGAGGGTCAGACAGACAGAGGAGTCGGTGGGGGGGGGGGCCCACATCCCATCAAATGCCACACAACTCCCTCCCTCTACCCTCCACTCCCTGCTCCTGGCAGGACCACTCCAAGCTGGGGGGAAAGGGGCTGCTCCTCTTACCAGCGGCTGCGATGACCCCTAGGGCACTTTGGTTTTCAGACTGGCCCGAGTCCTGGCCATCAGCACTGCTGAAATAGCTGACACTTTCCAGGGTCACTGTGGGGACCATGTTGTTCTGGCCCAAGTCCTGGTCCTCGGCACTGCTGACATAGCTGACACTTTCCAAGGTCACATCCAGGTTGTCCCTTCCCTGAAGGGTCTCAGGAGTCCCTGCAATGAGCCGTAAGTAATCAATAGCTGGGGGGAAGGGGACACACACACAACACACCCAGGTCATAGAGTTGGGGACCCCAGCGGCTCAACCACATCCAGACTGACTGGAGTCCAGAGAATCGCCGCCCCTAACCAGGTCTAACAGGAGCCCTGGTGGTGCCGTGGTTAAGCGCTCAGCTACTAACAGAAAGGTTGGGGGTTGGAACCCACCAGCCACTCCTCGTGAGAAAGATGAGGCAGTCTGCTTCCATCAAGAATAAACCGCCTTGGAAACTATGGGGGCAGTTCTACCGTGTCCTACCGGGTCACTAAGAGTCGGAATCCACTGGATGTCAGTGGGGTTGGGTTTGGTTTTCAACAGTGCCCACACCAAGAGGCAGATGTGGACAGACGCATACGCCCACGCCCCCTGATGGTCACACAGTGGCAGGTGCCGTGTCTATCACCAGCCCAACCCCATGCTAAGGTCCCGGACACGCACCGCAACCTCGCTCGTCGCTGGAGTCCGGGCAGTCTGGGTGGCCGTCGCAGCGCCATGTGCGTGGGATGCAGGCACCGCCCAGCGCACAGCGCAGCTCGCCTGCAGGGCAGGGCCGGGGGCTGCAGTTGTGGGGGCTCTTACCCTGGCCACCCAGGCAGCCAGTGGGTGGCGACGGCTCGACGCCGGGGGGTTCGATTCCTGGACAGTCGGGGGGGGGGGGGGGGGGGGGGGGGGGGGGGGTTGCAGAGGGTCAGGTTCTAAATATCCACCCTAGAGGACCGAGTGCACTCCTCCCAAGGACAGTGGACCCCACCTCTCCTAAGGGCCTCAACCTCAGGTTAGGTTCCACTTCCAAGGATTAGCTGCTCTGCAAGGCCCTAGTCTCAAGGCTCCACTAGCTCCGCCTCCCCATAAACCTACTTTCATAAGCCCCACCCCTTCTAAAACTGAACACCCACAAATCCCAGCCCACTTGCAAGCCCCACCCACCCTCAGGTCCCACCAAGCTCTCCCTGCCAGCTAAAGCCCAATCATCTGATGGCCGCACCCCTTTGCAAGACAATCAGCAGCCTAAGAGACCTTGCCTTTCCTACAAGCTCCACCCCATACATAGGCTTGGCCCAGCCTCTTTTCCAGCCCCCTCAGGCTCCGCCCCCTATAGGCTCCTCCTTGGGGGGGGCACGGCCACTCACTGCACTCGTCCTCATCACTGCCATCCAAGCAGTCGCGATCTCTGTCGCAGCGCCAGGCGAAGGGCACGCAGACGCCACCGGTGCGGCACTGGAAGCTGGCGGATGGGCACGAGCCTGTACTGGGGTCTGCGGGATGAGCCAAGTGAGGCCCGGGACTCTGTTACCCTAGTCCAGGCCCAACTCTAGGGGGTCACAGGCTGCCACCACCAGAAGACAGGATAGGACCCAGAGCGGAGGAATGGAACTGGTGCTACCATTTGTTAAGCACCTACTAAATGTGGCAAGGAGCTCTGGTAGCGTAGTGGTTACGAATCGTGCTGCGAACCTCAAGGTCAGCAGTTCGAAACTACCAGCTGTTCCGCGGGAGAAAGACGAGGCGTTCTGCTCCCGTAAAGATTTACAGCCTCGGAAGCCCTGTACAGGGTCACTATGAGTCGAAAGCTACTCCACGGCCCACAGCCACCAAATGTGGCGCCCTGGAGGAACAGTGGGGTAAAGTTTTGGAAGCCCTAAGTCATTCTACTGTGCCCTATAGGGCCAGTGGGTTTATGTGGGGCTTGCCCACCTCACCCAGGCTGGACTGGGCATTCTGTGTACACACACCCAGGGCCAAAGTGGCAGATCTAGCAGCAGCCAGGATTCCAACCCAGGTCCATCGGATCCTGGAGCCATGACCAGGCTCCAAACAGCCAGACAGTCTCTCCCCTGAGACTCTCCAATGGATGATTTTTTTAGAAGTAGATTGTAGTGCCAGGCCATTCTTCCGAGGTACCTCCCGGTGGACTCAAACCAACAACAACCCTTTTTGGTTAGCAGCTGAGCACGTTAACCATTTGCACCATTTAGGGACTCCCCACTCATAACAATCGTGCTTAAACCGGTAACTTCTGTTACCTACCCCGTGGCCTCCTTGACCCCCCTCACCCAGAGCAGACAGTTCCTGAAAATAAATGGACAAAAGACAGACTGGATGCCTTCCTGGATTCTAAGCAGAGAGGCGCAGGTCACCGAGGAAAAGCCGGAGGGCTAGCCTGGGACCTGTACCAGCAGAGGGAGCCCCAAGTTGAGCCAGAAGGGGCCTTTGGGGCTTCCTCTGGGGTCAGCACGGTAGGTGGGAAGTACCCCAGGGCAAAATGTAATGGCGCCAACCCAGCCCTATTTTCTCTGGTCCCTTTCCCCCTTCACTCCTGGGGGCCTGCAGTCCATGCTAAGGCTGAGCACTTTGAAGGCAGGAAGGGCTGGAAAACCAGCTGGAGACCAGCTTCCTTCCCTGCCCACGGGGGTCTGGCGGTCTTGGGGCATGGCTTCCTCCCCTGGTCCAGCCACCTACAGCCCTGAAGTCCTCTGGGCCGCAGAACAGGGTAGACCTGTCTCACAGGGCAGTGGGTCAGATAAGAGCTGAAGTGACCAGTGAATATGCCTTCCAGGATCAGTTTTCTCATCTGGAAAAGGGGCATGTTAGGAATCCTGACCTTTGTCCTCAGGGTGGAGCTGGCTTAGGTGTCAAGTGTTTTGTATTCAGCCGGAGTCCCAGAAGTAACCCAGAACATTTAGCCTGGCTGTGAGGTGGGGGGTGGCCCAGACATACTAAGAGGGGGGCCCCTGAGAATTGGGGGAAGAGTGTATAGACCTGGACTCACAGGGGCACCTGTGTGCACGGGAGGCCCTCTCTACCCTCCCACCAGTCTCAAATGGAAGGACGGATGGCGGCCTCAGAGAAGGCCATCAACGTCATGAGGCGGGGGCGAACTTATGGCTCTAGTCCCCACAAGGACGGAGACAATGGAGACACCTTCCATTGTCGAGGGCCTGAGGGCAAAGCAACAGAGGAGGGGGTGGCGCCGAGGAAACGCAGCCACGTGATCGTGATCTCTAGCCGAAACATGGGGTGGGGGTGGGGGGGAGTCGGGTGATGAGGGGGTATTCAGAAAAAGCAGTTGTTACCCGAGACACCTTCCCGGTCACTTTGGGTTTTGGGTGAAGGGCAGCTTAGAGGTGACAATGAGAGGCGAGAAATCGAAGTGCGGAGCGTGAGCAGGGCCAGGCATGACAGTGAAAGGATGGGGGACGAAGGGAGGCGCTGGGGTGGAGGTCCCCCATTAGGGTCTGCACCGAAGTAAAGACGTCAAAAGCCACGTGTGGGGGGAGTGTCTGGGACGGACAAGCGGTGCAGCCAATAGCGATGTGCTGTCAGCGCCCGAAGGCGGGGCCTGGGTTGCCGGAGGGCTGTTGCGCTGGGATCACTCACCTGCGGCCTGCAACGAGGGTACCGCCGAGGTCGGGGTAAGAGACCAGGCCGGAGTTGCGGCAGCTTCCAGCCCCAGCCCGAGGCCTAGCAGTAGCCGCAGCGCCAAACCCACGGCCGCTGTACACCGTGCTCCAGCCCGCGCCATCCCGCCGCTCACAGTGCCGCGCCGCCCCCGCCGCGCGCCTGTCTTGCTTTTATCTCCGCGCACGCGCACACAGCTCGGGAACGGAGCCCTGGGCGGGGCCTACGCCGCAGGTCGCGGTGCCTGGGGCTAAGAGTACCGTAAATGTCCGAATAGGGGGAGATCTAGAATTCGAAGCCCTCCATTTTCTCATTGACAAGGTCTTGAAAATGTATGGGACCCTCTTGAAATCAGTAACTTTGGTGGTATGGAGGGGTGGTATGCGTCTTACCGACTATGGGTTACCTTATTGTTGTTGTTGTTGTTGTCCGGTGCCATCGAGTCGGAACCGACTCATAGCGACCCCATGCACAGCCGAAGGAAACAATGTCCGATCCTGGGCCAACCGCACTACCACTGCCACACTTGACGCCATCAAAGATGCCACCTGGCTGATCCATCTCGTTGGGGGTCTTCCTCTTTTTCTCTGACCCTCCAC